GTTATTTAAATATGTCAAAACTTGTGCTTGTATTTTGATTTGATATTGCTCCTCAGACTTTTTGGACAGGATGTTTTCAATTAAGTATGGAGTCTTTCAACACTTTTGCAAAAGAAAATAGGAGTGACGACTTAAGACTAAGCACGTTTTATTCAAGCTCAAGTTTTTGTGAACTAGAGCCCACTTCTTCATATGCAATGAATTGACTCACCACTATGCAGCCTTTTTACATAAGAGGGAGGGGAGGGAGGGAGAATGAATATATAATGGAGTCAAGAGACCATGAAATGCAGGAAGCAATAGGTGAAATATAATTACATTAAAAATAAGGTTTTTTTAGACTAGCCATACTCTGTTACATGCCCTAGGAAAGGTGACATGTGGGGAAAAATGTTATTTCACATCAGAAAATAGCAAATAATTCCATACAGGGAAGAATCAGAAACTAAGCATCGGCTTTGAAACCATGTGGCATTTGAGACAAATAATAGAGTTAATAGACTGTAAACACTGTTTATAGCACATCTGTTTGATGATAATTTTAGGCCTTGGTTAAAGAAAGCACACACTTTCAAACTTTACTGTCACTAGGAAGACAGTTGCATAGCTAAGCTTCGATTAGGGTGTCACTAATAGTCCACCCCTTGTGAAGTTTGTAACTAATGGCATGATTTGGGGGTGGGGGGAAGACAACAAAAATGCTGTTGTTTCTTTGATGATGAGATAGCTACTAGATTTCCAGTCTAGTTTTCTTTTTTAAAAAACAACAACCCTGCTCTTGTAGGTGAATCTGCTCCTACACTAAGAAATTCAGGTTTCAATAGTTGATGAGAAAATAGCTCCAACCTTTACATACTATTGAACTATAGTAACTACCATGCCGGGTTAAGACTGCACAGAATAAATCAGTCCTGGGCATGCATTTATTCCATAGCCTCCTATTTCTCAATGTGAAAAAATAAGAGACTAGAAAATATCAGAGGCAACAACATCCTTCAGTGTGACCTGCCAACAGTCTTCCAACTGGCGGTGAAAGACCACACAAGGGGTTAGATAAAAGTATTTAAATCATGAATTTGGGAAGTGAATTGGAAAAATGTGCTGTTTGCAACACTTCCTATAACTAAAACCTGTTTTAGAAACATAAAAATGCATACTCCACATCTCTTTGAAATGTCTTCCTAAGGAATGTGAACGCCACACAGGATAATTGGCTTTTAAAACTGCAACACAGTAAAATATTACAATCTGTTCAATGTGCCAAAGCACATGCATGCTTTTGCTGTGAGGAACCCCTGAACAGACAGTCATACAAGTGATTCAGAGGCTGGAGTATTCTGTTCTGGCTACCTTCAAGCACACCATTGACATGACAAGGTTACATTATTTACCTCACATACTGAGGACAGTACAATGCAGTAACTTGAAAAGTGTCAACAAAATCTTCTGCTTGGATTTCTACTTGGAGTCTACTAAGAATCAAATTATGGCCCTTCTGGAGAAAAAGAATCACAATTGCGTTAAAGGCAGCCTTGCAACAGGCATGCAATGAAGACATCTCCCTGTTCAGGGCATGTGGGGGGAGGGGGGATGTACAGTCTGAACCTCTTCCACCATCTGCAAGTTTCTCTGTGCTTTGTATTTTCTGGAACTGGCTTGTTTAAGGCTTGCATTCTCCTGAAAGGGAAAACTAACATAGAGGTAGTATACTGTTCCCTCTAAGCTGTTAGTGTGAGCTATCTCAGTTTTTTAGCCTCCAGCTCACAGATTTTTGTCTTAACTCAGGAAGGATGGCTCCAGGGCAAACTAATTTATGCAGTAGCCAAATCAATCGCTCACTTTAATGCCAGTCGCTCAAAAAGTAGAATTTTTGCTCACAAGACTCCACAGCTTAGAGGGAGCATTGCATGTATGAATTTTGCCAGTAAGTAGATACTTTTCTGCCAGAGCCTGAAGGACTTTATTCTCAAAAAAATTAATCACATCTGAACATAAGCAGATACACTAACAGAACATCATGATCCTGCCCCCTACAATTCTGTTGTTGTAGCAACACTCCTGAAATTACTGATTTAGGATTGTCCATTCTGCTTCTTTAGTTTGTAATTCTATCACTGTGGTCTAGAACATTAAATACAGTTCCAGAGACCTAACATTTATATACCCTATCTACCACTGAAAATATTAAGGAAGTTTACAGAAACAATTAAAAACTTTAAGCCCCATCAACTATAAACTAAAAACAGCATTAAAGAGAATGAGAAATAAAATTTAAAGCCCAAGTTGCTCCTCTGGTATATCCCTGGGAGAGCGTTATGCTCTGCGGAGAACCATCTACAGGTGACCCCTGGCCTCAAAGATATCCAGCTATCCTCGATCAGAGCCAGGGCTTTTCCATCCCTGGCGGAACTCTGCCAAATACCACTGGGGCCCTGTGGGACAATGCAATTCCGCAGGGTCTGCACAAGGCAGATATATTCCAGAAGGCTGAGGACAATAACAGTTCCATCATGGCTGGCACCCATCTCCTTTCCTCCATCTTTTCACTTTCGCCCCCTCCTTGCCCTACCTGCAAAACGGCAACACAGTCTGGAGTGGGTCAAGAAGAAATATTGACGTCATCTGAGATTTGGTAATTGATGTATGAATTTTATTAATTTTAACATTGTTTTCAATCACTGTACAGAGCTTTGTGCTCACAGGGATTGGGCAATTCACAAATCCAGTAAATAAATAAATATTAAAACCAAAAAAGCAGCAAGGAAACTGCAGATCTAAAAAGAGCAGCAAAAACACACCAACCTCATCAAATGTATGCATTAAAAAATTCTACATTGTGCACCAATTGCAGTTTGGCAGCCCCCCCCCCAGCACATTGTGGTAGCCTAACCTGGAAGTAACACAGGCGGGGGTGAACTGTAGCCAGAGCTTACATTTCAAGGACTACAGCTGGTAAACCATCCAAAAGCTAGTCAAAGGGATTATGAGCTACAAAGAACAGCTGCGCACACATCTGAAGCACAGGATCTATTAACACTCTAAAATTTGAACCTGTTTAAGAGGGATTGACTCCTTCCAGAACACTTCCTGACCTGAACTCTTTGAGTTTATTGGACAATATCCAGCCCATCACTGCCTCTAGGCATCCTTTCAGGACATCCACTGTGTCACCTACTCCTTGGGAAAAGGGTTATATATCATCCGCATATTAATAGCATTTAACGCAGTCTCTCTGGATGACCTCATCCACTCATTTCCTGTAGGTTTTCACAAGCATTGAACTCCATGTATCACAAACGCTACTGGAAGAATAGTAGCTCCCCACATCACCTCCTGAAATGTGTCTCCAGAGTGTCATGCTGTTACCCATTCCAGCCAACAATTTCAGATAGATGGTATCAAAAGCAGTTAACATTCAGGAGAATGAAAAGGACTGACTGTCTCCCCCGGCAAAGCTCATGTAAGCAGGATGGCCTAAAGCCAGACTGAAGTCACTGTTATCCAACATTGCTGTAATTGAACTACTGGCACCCATATGAGCCTCATGCCCCCAAAGGAGTATTTGTCACCAGTGAATAGTCCTTGAGATCTTCAGAGTCTAGGGAAGTCTTTGAAGGGATTACATAACTTCCTAATTCAAAGTAGCTTGCGAGTTCCCCCTCTTAATGAAACATTCACTACTCCCTGTACCTGTAAGTTAGGAAGTCCTTCCTAGATCAATTTTTAGAAGACCCAATGAGGGCAAGTGGCATACCGCTGGCAAGCTACGTTACTCAAGCAGTTTACCCCCTATCCTTGGAGCACAACTCAAAGTCATTTAAGTCCAGACCTTCTTGATGGGTCTATGCCTAAAAGCAGAACAGATGCTTTCCATTCTGCAGTAATATGATACAGGCGAACAGGCAGAAGGCCAGTGACTGAACGTATTTGGGAATAAGGACCCAAGACTGTCACAGTGCACTTACAAACCACACTTACAGAAGTGTATACTTTTCTCTTGGTGTCTGAACACACTGGTATTTACTGGAAGATGTTAAGCAAGATAATAGCAACAAACGAATAGAATCTTATTTTTGTTTTTGGCAGGTAGATTTACTGTGTCTAGCTATTTTCCATTTCTATGAAAAAGAATCAGACCTTCTAGCAGCTACTGTAAAAAAGGCTTAAGGTCTGCATACTGTTCATTGCTAGTTAGCCTTCCTGTTCAGGAAGATACCTATTACAACTGCATTTTTTGCTTGCATAAGTTAGGTGCCTGATCACATTAGAAAATAGCCTTGCAGAAGTAGTTTGAAATGGGAGTAATTCAAGTTTTTGTCATTCAAATCACAATTCTCTTCATTGTACGAATGCCAACATAGTATTATGGCATGATAAAATGTTGATGTTTTAATTCTTAAGCACTGTCACTTCTAGTTATGAGCCATGTTACAGCAATGCTTAGCTACTACACAGCATAATTTTAAGCAGAGAAAATCAGAGTTTTGTTTGAGAACAGTATGGAGCAAGCATATCTGTCATAGTTCATTTGAATATTTCAGAAGCACATAACCAGGTAACCACATGCACAGCATTAAACACACTTGGAAGAGCTGATACTTGTATTCTTGAATCTGTCACCACTCAATTTATAACACAGGCTTTCTGCCGTTAGTAATTATTGCGGCACATGACAATACCATTCACCTCAAACATCCAGTAACTCAAAAGAACATTCTTTATTAAGTAGCAGCAAATTCCAATGTATTTTGAAAAAGTGTGCCTTGCACACGAAAGCTTGTACCTTGAATAAACCTTTGTTGGTCTGAAAGGTGCCACTGGACTCTAAATTTGTTCTACTGCTTCAGACCAACACGGCTGACCGCCTGGATCCACCAATCAGGTAAGTACTGAGAACTTTTAAGTAGACTCTGCTTTAAAAAGCAGATCTAAGATGACTTAATTTGCAGTGTAGAGTTATCCTCATCTGTACAAAAGTAACTGAGAACTTTTAAGTAGACTCTGCTTTATCCTCATCTGTACAAAAGTGGCTACAGTAACAGTTATAGGGTTTCTCTTATTAGGGAGAACGTTATTTGCGAAACTTCCATCTAGTCATTGAGTTGTTTGTATTACTTTTCTTAGGCACTGCTCACCTGAATAAATCTTCCTCAGGCAATGCTTGGCATCCCTCCCCCATCCATAGGCTAATGCAGATAAACCCAAGAATTAGAAATCAAATAAAAGTCCGGATTAGTTTCAAACATTTCTTACTCTCACAGAACAGAACCCTGGTTATTCAATAAGCCATCAAAAAAGGAACTAGATCCCTCTGTACATGATTTTATTATTTACATAATACAATATCGCATAGATGCTGGGTAGCATGATTATGTGCAGTACATAAATATGAACTATCTGTACACATTTGTAAATCTAATAACTCAACCAAGGACAAAGTTTAAAGCAAAAACCTGATGCTTTTAATGAAGAAACTAAGACTGAACATTGCAATTGATGTCAGAAGTAGTGCCTTGTGTATACACAACTATTTACAGATGAGAACAGGCATTACCACTACACTAGTCTAAACTGTATTTGTTTATATAAAAAACACAAGTTTCATACATCACAAAAAACCTTCCATTATAACACAGAAGTGATATTACCAGACAAGCATCAGTGAAGTATACTGCCTTTTCTAGAGTTGTTATTGTACAATGCTGTAGATAATGCAGCCCATGCAATACACCCAAGAACACTACAGTCCTACACCCAAATACTATTAAAATGATAAAGCAGCCCTCAGAGTGGTTCCAGGTACCACTTAGTCTACAGCAGCCATATTGGGTATGATTTTCCATGCAAAATGGTGCAATCTCACTACATCTGAAAACTATAAAAATTAAGAGCTAAGATTCTCTTGAACCCAGAACACATTCAACATAAAATGTATATGAAAAATTAAATGCTTGAATACATTTGCAACCTAGGTTCATCAGATGCATGTTATTTGACAGAGCTGCTGTAGTTAAGTTTATAAAAAATATGTAGCCTTTTGTTTGTAAACTGTAAAACAAAGTCTTCTGGTGTTGTGCTACACAACTTTGCTACACACAAGAAAAAGCAGACAAAGTTTTTGTTGTAGGCTAGTTCATAAAGTTCTGAAAATAAATTTTCTCCTTTGGAAACAACTTTAACAAGTTGAGTGATTTTCATCAGTTCCAAGGATTTCACCCTTCCAGCTCAGATTTCTTGCTTTTGTTTAGTAGGTGACCTTAAACTGCAGGCTTATGGCACCTGAACAAGCATTCTCATTTAGAAAGTGGATCTTCTGCAGCTCAGCTCCAAAACTACAAGTTGTGGAAATTAAAGAGGACGAAGTTTTAACTATGGTAAAAGTAGACTCATTATTCCTGGTGTACATTTAATCAAACAGGCACATAGCTCTATCCAAGGATGATATACCTCAATTACATTCCCAAAAGGCAATCTGCTGCAAACATGCAGATTTTATGCATCTGTTTGGCACATGTGAACTAGACAACTCTGTCCTTTGTGTATGTCAGTTTTCCAGTGCAGGTCGTACTCTTTCAAATCATTTTTGGGGAGGGCATGTATACATCTTAAAGGGCTGTATCTATCCAATTCTGCCTGTAACACCCACAACATCCTAAAATATCAATCAATAAGACAGACTAAAGTAAAACTCGGGAGAACATCAAAGGAAAATGGCCATGCATCTGCTCTTTAATGTTTTCCTAGGATTATTTAAAATAAAAAGGAAATCAGTCTTTTCACCAAGTAGGTTAGTTTATATTCTCTGGATTTTTTCAGCCACAACAACTGGATTCTCTTTCCTGATTTTTGCTGCAGCTTCTGCTTTGTAATCATATGGGCAGTTGTGCTTGTCAGAGTAACGGTGAAGTCCACAAAACAGATTTCCACATCGGCAGTCAAACCCTGTGCAAACAACAGAGTAGTGTCATCTTGAGATACTGAAGCAAAGAGTTAATTAAGACCATTATTCTAGGCAAGCAATTTAAAACCCCATGAAAAATCAGTATTTGCTATCTCTGATTTTCAGTACTGATAAAAGTTTATCATACATGGAAAACATTAACCACCACAGACTGGGTATGCATGGATAACAGTGTTCAATGAACATACCTGTAAGGCCAACCTTCTTTCTACACATAAAACATCTGTTCTTCTTTGGTTTGGGCATTTCAGGCGTTTTTTCTTCATTCTGAGATGTACTAGGTTGAGTAACTGTAGGGCTGGGTTGAGTTACAACTGTTTAGAAACAAACAAAAAAAGCCAGAGTTGATTAATCAAACAGCACAAGGCACTTCTAAAGTATAATCCAACATGAACTCCAAAAGCAATGATAATTTATGAAAGACTAGCTAAATTTCTTGGAATAACATTTCTGAAAGAAAACATAAAATTGCAATCGTTTTATAGCTTTAAACATTCAAGGATATCCCTCCCGTTTCTTGCATATTTTATCAATTCTAAACTGAGAATTACTCATGTCATGGTTTTCTGATTGCATCCTGCAATCACTAACTTTCCAGGCTTTCCTCTCCCTGCAGCATCTATGTCCAGCACCATGCTATTACTCCATGTGGGATACCAGAACTCCAGGAAATTTCATGTGCAGGGCTGTGGGACTAATAGCCATGCATGTCAGGAGGTTGCACTGGGGAGGGGGCAAAATCATTTCATTCTGCCTGTTGCATGAGCACAATTCCAATGACATGAAAGGAGGTGGCAATTTCACCCGCTCCCCACTGCAGCTTCCCAACCAGCATGGCTATTACTCCAAACAGGTCCTGCAACCCTATGAATAAGCTTTTCCGGGGATAGAAATGGCTACTGGGAAGATTAGGGATGCTTCTGTGGACTCTGCATGATCCTTATGCTGGATTCAACTATATGAGAGTAGTGTTATACTGCATGACTAACACAGTTAAAAGGAACTAAGACACCACTCATGATATCAAAGCTTTATAGGGACACAAAATATTACATCTGTTCCCAAATACTGGCTGAGGGCTGCTTGTTTCATGGCTAGAAATAAGTTGTTTGAGAAAATGGAAAGTGAAGGACAATGGCCTGGCATTTCATTGCTTCATGCAGCAAACTCTATCCATGTTGCCATATGAAAAAAAAAATTACTTCGGCTACCCTGGATGTAAATTTTCTACTCCCTCCCAACAGCTGCTGCAATTCTAAGGTGCTTAAAAGAACCAGAAGTAGTAACTTCTTAATTGCATCATCCTACCTTGGTTTTTACCTAGTTGTGCACACTTTTCAGATACACTGCCATAGACCCACACATGAGAAACTAGCATGATTTCAGATTTAGTTATAAAGGCATTTCAAAGCCATTTTACTAGTAAGCCCATGAACTAAAAGTAACAAAGAAATCTATGTTCCTTTCATTTACAATATTGCCCATTTACTTAGAATAGGTTATGCATGATCATCAGCTGCTCGCCCATTGCCTCGCCGACATGGGGATTCGGGGGCTGGCCTTGCAATGGCGTGTCTCCTTTCTCCAGGGTTGGGGACAAAGGGTGACACTTGGGGAGAAGCTGTCCCGAAGGCATCCACTAGTCTGTGGAGTGCTGCAAGGGACAGTGCTCTCCCCAATGCTATTTAACATCTATATGCGCCCCCTTGCCCAGATTGCCCGGAGGCATGGGCTAGGGTGTCACCAATATGCAGATGACACCCAGCTCTATCTGTTGTTGGGCGGTTAGTCTGGCTCTACCCTGGAAGATCTGGACCGGGCGTTGCAGGACGTGGCGGGATGGCTTAGGCTCAGCCGACTGACATTGAATCCGACGAAGACGGAGGTCCTATGCCTGAATCGGAGCGGCTCGGGGTTAGGGGTCCCACTTCCAGCCTTCAGTGGGGCGCTGTTGGTGCCAGTGCTGAGGGTCAGGAGACTGGGAGTGCTCCTGAGCGCTTCCCTGACAATGGAGGCCCAGGTAGCAGCCACTGGCAAGACATCCTTTTACCATCTCCGGCTGATTAGGCAGTCAGTCCCGTTCCTCGAATGCAATGATCTGGCCTCAGTGATCCATACTATGGTCACCTCGAGGTTGGACTACTGCAATGCTCTCTACATGGGGCTGCCCTTGGGGCAACTCCAGAAGCTGCAGCTGGTGCAAAACGCTGCGGCCAGGCTGTTGATGGGCCTCCCTATGTGGGAGCACATCCAGCCTGTGCTAAAGTCGTTGCACTAGCTACCAATAGCATTCCAGATTCGCTTCAAGGTGCTGTTTTTGACCTTTAAAGCCCTTAATGGTCAGGGACCTGCCTACCTGAGGGACCGCCTTTCCCCGTATGTTCCCCAAAGAGCACTGCGATCTGAAACACAAAACCGCCTGGCCCCCCTGGGCCTAGGGACACCAAGCTGGCGGCAACTAGGACCAGGGCGTTCTCCCTAGTGGCGGCAATGCTCTGGAACGAGCTCCCTAGTGAGATCAGGGCTCTGCGGGACCTCCAGCAATTCCGCAGAGCCGTGAAAACGGATATGTTTCGGCAGGCATTCCAGTAATAATTGATTCCATCGGTCGTGCCACACTTGCACTGTATTATATGATGCCATCGCATTTCAATAGTTTAATTGTATTTATTGGAATTTTATTGGAATTTTGTGGAATTGTATTTTACGTTATTTTGCTGGTTTTAAAATTGTATGCTGGTTTTAAAATGCTATGTAAGCCGCCCTGAGCTGCTTTGGCGGGAGGGCGGGTTAGAAATTTAATAAATAAATAAATACAGATATGGATGGAGTGCTTTAAGAATCAGAAAATCTATAATAATGCAGCAAGTTAAATGTTAATCATCTTACTGTGAACTGTTTATCTCTTAAGAATTTTATAATGTATTTTATTGCTCTTTTAAGCTTCTTTTACTTTTATTCTCAGGTGTTCTTACTATCAATTTTGCTGTGTCTTAATTGTCAATTGCTGGCTTCAGCCGTAAATAAAACTAAAACTAAACATGTTGAAACAATAATCAATTTCCATTAATCAAGGCCAGATGACAACTTCTAAGGCATCAAAATATTGCTCTTTATTGTAATAGATGAAGCAGCCTTATACTGAATCACACCATTGGTCCACCTGGGCCAGTACTGTCTATTCAGACTAGCAACAACTCTCCAGAGTGTCAGGTAGACATCACATCATCTACTGTCTGGTCCTTTTTTAACTGGAGATGCTGAGGATTGAACCCAGGACCTTCTGCATGCAAACCAGAGGCTTTTCCACGGAGCCTCAGCCCCTCCTCACCCCTATTATTCAGTTGTGCTATTCAGTTAAAGATTTCTCAAGCTTCCTTCTACCTGTAGTTGTCAGAAAAAGCTAGCTCATATATGAAACTATTTATCAGAAGGGCTCTGCTGTACCTGCCTGAAACAGCTTTTTCCCTTATACTGATTTGCCTACATCCCATACCCAAGTCCATTCACTATGTAGAATTAATCTTCATAACACAGGTTAAAGGTTTAACTTTTCAAATGCTGAAGCAATACTAAACACAACTAAAGCACGCTTAACAAGTTATAACTGTGCATACGAATGTTATCCTTATTTGTATTATTTCAAATATTTTACTGAATAAGAATACACATTATAGAAAAAGTGAAATGTTGGGCGCATTTCAACTCTGAGGCCTTCACAATCTTCACAAATACTTCGAAAACACCAAATATTCACATTGTGAAAAATGAATTTTGATTATGATCTGCAGGTTTCTTATATTACTAGCCACTGAACATCACCAGGCTGAAATATTTTTCATGGATTTTTTTTTTAACAAGCAGGTCATTAGAATTCAATGCATTCCAACTACTTAATGCACTAGTGTACTAATGGAAGTGGAAGTGAATAGCATACAAATAGTTCAGAAGAACTTTAAACTTCAGTGGTTGTTAAAAATATATTTACGATCTTTTAATGCATGATTTATCTTAACTCTAAAATCCAAAGAAGTGTTAATCTTTTCCTCCTTGGTTGCTAAAGGTTTAGAGCTGCCAGGTCCCACTGAACTAACTGCACCTAAATTATTTTTGAAAAGCATACCTGGCTCAGTTGTCTCTGTTTTCGGAGTTACTTTCTCCTCTCTTGAAATGCTCATTTCTGTCATTTGCTGTGTTACAGGCAAGGCGGCAACAGGCACATTTCTGCTTGTATTCAGTGAAATGAGAGCAATGTGTTAGTGCTGTTAGGAAGTCTAACAACTTATAAAATTAAAAATTTTAAACCCTGAGCTTCTTTTGATAGCTGTTACTGAGCTCACTGATGCTAAAGTTTGATTAAACAAACCATAACACCTATGTGGAAAATGTGGTACGCTTAAGATATTAGATTTATTCTGCCTTCACAAAAGGTCCCCCCAAATTTTAATAGCTGGAAATCCAACTCTGGCAGTTACTTCCTCTTTAACTAGCTTTAACACGAACTCCTGTACCATCATGTTCAGATGCTTTCCTAGACCTATCTTCCAGCCTCAATTCTTTACCACAGTACTGTTCCCGCCCCCTTTGGTTTTTACCTTGATTTGTCAGATGTGCTGCCAGCAGCACCTTCACAGGTGTTTAAACTAGTTTCTGCTCTTTGTACAGATGCAGAGTCTGAGGTAGGGCTATTGGAACCACTTGACGACCCTGCACAACACAGAGAATAAGTACACAAAAAGAAATGTAAATTTATAATATCAAAAAATTACAAGTTGTTGCTGTAAGTCTTTCAAATTAGTTGACAGTACAATGAGAACGACTAAGAACCAAAAATGCCTCAAACTTGGGAGAGCTGAGAATACCTGTATCCACAAAGATGTTTATTTCTCAAATATGATAGCATTTCTGAATAGCATTTATGTACTTATAACAGAGGTTCCCAAACTTATTTGGCCTACCACCACCCCCTTTCAGAAAAAAAAATACTTAGCGTCCCCCCCCCCGGAAATCTACCTTTAAGAAGTGTACAAAAAGACGCAGTTTGTGGATCTGCACCAGGATCGTTTCACGCCCCCGAGGGAGCGGTATTGCCCACTTTGGGAACCAGTGATTTATAACCTGCTTTTCTTCCCAAAGGGCACCAAAAGAGGTTATGCCATTCTCCCTTCTCCACTTTATCCTCACAACCACCACCCTGTGAGGCAGTCCAACTGGCCCAAGATCACCCAGCAAACTACCATGCCAGAGTGGGGATCTGAACCTGGTTCTCCCAGATCCTGGTTGGACACTCTACCCACTACAACAGTTACGTTTCATACTTTAAGGCATACCCATTGGGCTGATTCGTCCACTGTTTTGTTGTCGTTGAAGATGTTCTTTATAGCAGACTGAACACATTCCATTAGTTCTAGGATTCCCATAAAATCCACATCCTGTGCTACACAGCATGGGTCCTGGGGTCTGGTTGGTCTCCTGAGCCATTTCTGTGCTGAAAAATAAATTAAAAATTCATTAGGGCCTAGCACATGATGGTATAATAATTTAATAGTTGTGTTTACAGCATAGTATCACTCTACTTTAGGGTTCCAGTGTGTGGACAAGCTAGAAGGGAATCCCTACAGATATAAACCCTTGAGATATTATCATACTTTTAAGTTATGCCTCTCTGCCCAAAACTACTGGAGGGGCCAAGAACTGTGGCTCCTCATCCAGCCAGTCCATAACAGCAGCAGATAGCAGGTCTGAAGTGAGAGTGGAAAACTGGGGCACTTTCTCAAAGCTAAAGCCCCCTTCCCACGCTTTTAAGGCTGAATGAGTATGCCTGCTCTGATATAGTTACGGAGGGGGTGTAAACAGGATGCATATTTAGGTGCAGATGAGGTCTATGCAAGCTGCATGGCTTTCAGCTGTATGTGCACTCAAATACTCCTCAATGTACATGCCCAACCAGACAAGAATGTTCATTCAGATGCTCAACCAAGTATACTTCTATTAACAGCACAACAATGCACACAAGCAACTTCTATAACCATCCAAATCAGGCCACTAGTTTCTGAGCCAGTGAGTAATATGAAGGCCGATGACTGCTTCTTGCACAAAGTTTGCCCTTTAAAAATTAGAATAAAACAATATTACCTGAACTGCCCATAGTTATCTTAAATAAGCTTAAAATTACAGGACAGGCTTTGGACATCTATAAAATATAATTACCCAGAATTATCATCAGGCTCTATTGTTGAGGGGCTACAGCTATACTCCAAAGATAAATTAGCTTTTCAAAACACATATGGATAGAATGAGTTTGGTCAATGTTCTCAGATGAACTGAGAGTTACCACTGCAATACTTTCCAAAAACATACACAGGCTTATGACAACTTGTGCAGGAAATCAGATAGTGTACTAATTAAAAACATCATGCAATTAAATTGTTCATGTATAAAGAAATCAGCTGCTACTTCTACATAACCAAAACCATTCAGCTCAGTAATGTTAGCAGGAACAGGTCTTCTAAAAAAATGTCTGCTTAATATGTTCATTAACAAAAGCTCCTTTTTTACAGTAACTCAACAAAAAGTGTAACTATCAGAGCAGGCCACAAATATTTGGCTGCTAGCAAAGGCCTCATCATCTGTGAATACCCCAAGAGCCAAAGTTTATATAATGCTAAAAATTTTACCTTCATTAAGCAATTAAACTAATACTGATTTTAAAAACTTGGTACAGGATCCACGGGACCCTGGTTCAACTGGATCATGGTATAATATGGTCCCTTACAAAAAAAAAGTGTCACATCTTCTAAGAACTTTAGGACAACATACATACTGTAAGCAATATTTAAAATCCTGAAACGTAAAACATTTTGATTAGGATAGCCAAAGAGCTTCACAGGAATATCAACTGAGAACAGCTCCAAAAATTACCCTTGTTCTAAATGGCAACAAGGGAGTTTGCACTGGATACCATGTGTATAAATGGCTAGAAGGTTTACAGAAGATCTTTATTCTCAAGGGGGACATAACGGAGGGCCTGTTTCAATTTTCCAAAAGAGTAGACAAGTCTTGTCCAATAATATCACATCACTACTAGCCCAACCTTAATAAAAAACCTACCACTCCCCAAGTCACTTTTTACTTCTTAAGAACCATATGAGTAAATCTATGTTCATAAAAAATACACAAATCTTAAATATGTTTCTAATATATACAATTCATGTCAAAAGATTATTTTGAGGTAATTCAAAATAGGAACAGTATTCAACCAACTAAATAGTTGACATATACTGTCATTTTCAGTTGTTTACTATTATGTACAATTCACAACATCCAGTTTGAAGTTCTTAAGATACCACCACTATCATTATGGAGAAATATCACTCCCCATGAAAACACAAAACGTGCCTTATACCATTGCCATTGGTTGAACCTGAGACCTTCTGCATGCCAAGCGGATGTTCTACCACTGAACCACGGCCCTTCCCCATCTGCAAATGACTGAAGCAAAGAAAATAACAGATTCCGATCTCAAGTGTTTTTCATGTACTGCTTGTAATGGAACCTTAATCTCAAGCAACTTACCTTCCTTTACACCTTCACATTTCCAGTACAACATTCACTTATAATACCATTACATGTGTGCTTGCTTGTTTTATTATTTCTCAGAAGCTAAGGTCACATGGGTGCGTGCATTAGCTTCCGCTTGTCACAAGGCTGCAATGTGACAGGCTGAGCTAGAGGCTCAGACACAAAACCTCGTCAACAGGGGCCTCTGAAATCAGCTTCTATTTATATCTCAATAGGCTGCCCAACTCCTGCACAGTACACAGAACTAAAACAGCAGAATACAAACCCACTATGACAAAACAATATAAATGCTGATTAACACTATGAAAAGACAAGGCTTAGACAGATATCTAGGTCAAAATCTATTGCAGCCAATGTTAATTCTAGCCCTTAGCAAGTTAAGTAGAAAAAGCAAAGATTAGCTTAAGGCCTGAATGACTGCTGCTCTGCCACTCCTAAAAAGACACCGCAGATCATATATATCAGATGGTTTCTTCCTAAATATCTATTTTGGTCTCTGCTCTCCTACACATCCTAAAATAAAGCTTTTACTTCATACCTTGCCCTTACAGAACTGCTCAAACTTCCCCAGCATAGTACAAAACTAATGATGGCATAACAGGAATATCAGTTCATAATAGCTGTTATGAAATGCAGTCAAGTGCACAAAAAGCTACAATAAAAGACCAAAATAACTTACCCTTCCTCACTAGTTTACATAAAGCACATTTCACAAGCTGCTATACATGCATAACACACACACACTCTTCCTCATATATAACACACATAAATACAAAAGTATGAGTCAAAGAAGCAAAGACAAAAATCACAAGGGACTACTAAATGTATGGAAACTGCATCAATGATGGTATTAAAACGAATGTCTGTTCTATACATTCATTTAAACATTATACTTTAGGAGGCAAAAAAGTAGGGCAACTTAAATAAATTAATACTTGTGTTAAGGAGAAGGAAAGATAAGCGTTACAGTTGCTTTCAACGGCAAAGTCGAAAGCTTGGGTGGTGGCATGTCAATAAAAAAGCAAAAAAAAATTGGACATTTCACAGTGGCACAATTGAGAGACCAGCCAAGAGAGAGAAACAAAGGCGAAGGCGCTGCCAACAGCTCAGAGCATGGGGGAAGCGGGAGGGGGGAGAGAAGGAGGAAGAGAAAACCTATCCTCACTACAGCGCCAAGGACTAGGGGACATAAAAGGCGCTAAGGAAATAGATTTAGAAAATGGCAGACGGTGATGATCGGGGCGGGCTCTAGTTGAAATACTGGTGGGGAGGGGAAGGGAAAGGGAAGAGAGAGAGAGAGAGACGGCCAAATAAGAGGAAGAGGGGGTGGGGGCCCTGCTGGAACTGGTTCCCTCTCTCCCTCCCTCCCTCCCTCCCCAACCACATCCAGCCAGCTTGACAAACACACACACCAAGGCCTAGGGGGCCTCATAAAAGAAACTACTGAGTCATGGCAAGGCCAATTCGGCTTCAGGAAAGCCGTGCGATGCCCCCCCCCCCCGCCCTCGGGTCAACACAACCGAAGCGTGTAGGCGCGCACAAAAGCC